GGTATGACTATATGACCCCACAGGCCCCCTTAACTTCCCACTTGTCGCGACCGCACACCTCCCAGAAAAAAAACAGTTGTGCAACTGCTACGGCGACAACAGTGGCACCACGGCCCCAAACACTGACGCGGCGTGGAACCTCGCGCGAATCCAGAGGAACATACCAACGCCACGATGCTCGCGACAAGCAAGCGCAAGGCGAAGTCACGCGCGATGAGCGCCGCGTGTTGCGGACTGCAAAGAAGAAGCGCTCCGCTACGACCTGCGCCCGCTGTGTTCAGTGCTTATTGGCGTTTAGATGTCAAGATGTGGTGTTGTCAGTGGCGTGCGCGCTGCACGCTGAATTCCCTAGATCTTGCAAGCAAGGGGTCGCAGAAAGCCCCGCGAGCCCCGTGGTCTGGAAAGTGCTGGTGGCCTGCAGCTTCTGGTCCGCACCACCCAGCGCAGCGCCCTTGCCTTCAGCGCAACGTGCACATGTACGCCGATGACACGCGCACGGACCAGATCTGGCAGCAACAGTCAGGGCCACGTGCTGGCTGCAGCAAGGGCGGCACGCCTCAGGCGTGGACGGACCGAGCCCCGAGCAGCACCGCTCAGAACTAGCTCTTGGTGGGAAGGCTACTTCTGCGCCCTGAACAGAGTCCAGGCTTTCGGATTGCAAGGCGCAGTCAGAGGTGGACTCCCAGGGTCCGGGCTTTTTGTTCAGAGGCATTTGTTTAGGACGCAGCGACTTCAAACAAGGAGACTTTTGGCCATTGGTCACAGGGATGCTGAATGGCCCACCCTTAGTTTACTGACACGGGTCAGAAGACCTGGTTGCGTTGCCAGCTACGATTATTTGGATTTTGAAACGCTGGTAGCTCTGCTTGAACTGTCGAAGGGCTACCGCAACACACGTGTGAAGTGTAGAGGTTTGCAGTAGTGCACCTGGAACAAACTATCGTGATCAAGCAGTTGACTTGGCAAACACCCTGTTATTTTGTGGTCACCAACCATGGTTTTACACCCCAAATCGACCCACGACAAGTTGAGCTCTTTGCAATTGGAAGGCGTGTAAATGATCAGACAAACGGACAGTTCGTTTTTGAAACGTGGTGCGTTGGACAGCACGCTTGGCATTTGTCCTGCGGAGCGAAGCGCTGCGGTTGCGGTTTTGTAATCTGAAAAACGGAGCGCTGTTTCAGCAAGAAAGATCAAAGCAATTGTTTGTGAGCTTCGGAGCATAGCACTTCCGAATCATGGATCAACATGACAAACATGGATCATTTCTTGCAGTCACGCCCTGCAAAGCACTGTTTGCCAGCGATGCAAGGAGCAGTAGCCAAGGCAACCGCCATGCTAGTAGTAGTCAATCGTTTTTGTCTACCTGCAGCTGGAGAATAAAAATCGGGGGTCACATACTCCTAGACCGATCTGCAATTGGAGGTCCTAACAAAGGGCTGTTTTTTCTTAAATCCGGACAGGCTTGGAGATAAGCTAGTTGCTACTCAGCCTCGATGCTTTTCCGTTACCTGCTGCGCTTTACGAGCAACGCCCAAGGAAATTCCACAACTTCTCTGATGTTCGTGTTTGGTAGAAAATGCGGATCCTTCCAGATGCGATCATGAACTTCGTTAAGCAGGCCATGTCTCAGCCTCGTGTCCTTTTGCCGGTCAGGCTATGTCTTCGACCTCCTGGCCTCTTCCGGTGCCCCAACAGGCGGCGATCAGGGCTGCTCCCCCTACTTTGGCCATGGAGAGGGCACGGAGCACTTTGCTTCCTCCGGCGTGGCGCCGCCTTGCCCCACCATGTGCGGGAACACCTTTTTTGGAAGGCCTCGCGAGCTTGCCTTGCTCGTGTCACCTGCAGTTGTTCCCTTTCGTGTCTGAAAGAGGGTAAATTGGTGGGCACAGGAACATCGAGGAGGACAAGTTCAAGCTAAACACCAACAACTACATTGACATTGCCAGCTTTTTGCACCCGCGACCAGCGATGGTGTACCAACTTGTGCGGGAGGCAATCCTGAGCGGCGGCCCAGTTCCATCATACCTCTATGCTGATGCGGGATTCATGGCTTACTCAGGAGGCGTTTACACACATAGCTGCGACACCTGGTCCAACCATGCAGTGACCACCATTGGCTGGGGGGCAGATTACTGGCTCTGCTTGAACAGCTGGGGTGATTGGCAGCTTGGCTGAAAGGCGCTGTGCTGTGAGACGACTTGCGCCACTTGCAACCGAGGTGGGGCGATGGTGGACGCTTTAAAGTGGGATTGTGCGTCCTCACAGACTTCCAGATCCCGACCAAGAGTCTGCAAGGCTCGCCTTCGCTTTGGGTCGAGAAAGACTCGCCTTTGGGTTTGCCTTTGTGGCAGGCAGCAGCACCGACTACTCCTTCCCCTTGCTGGATAGCTCGGAGACGCCGGCCCCAAGCGCTCCAGTCAACTTCACAGGGGTCATCTCCACAGCCGAGCAGCTTGTGCCAAGGACTTGCGTTTGGAGGCATGCACATTCTTGCACAGTGAGAGGCTTGATTGCTTCAACAGTCTTTCGTGTTTTGTGCAGGACCACAAATAGAGACTGTGCGTGCTCCACGGCGTGCGGTCTTTATTGGGACTACGGCTTGACGTCTAACTTTTGCTGGGTACAGGACGGGCTGCAAATTATATTTATTGCTGATGCGGTTCTTTCCAGGCTCAATCAATTGGAAAATGAGTGTCACTGGCAAACTGGAGCTGAAACACGTCATCCCTGCCTGTGTTGTCTCTTAAAGAAGAGGACAAGACAGCAATAGCCAAGGAACACCCACAAGCTTCTGAGAGGCGTGCTGCATCTTGAATATCCTATAAATCAGCTCAGCATCTAAGAATCCACTGACAGCATCTCCAGCATCACTAGCATTAGTTGCATCACTGGCATCACTGGCATCACTGGCATCACTGGCATCACTAGCATCACTAGCATCACTGGCATCACTGGCATCACTTGCATCACTGGCATCACTGTCATCACCAGCATCACCAGCATCACAGCATCAGTAGGATTAGAAAACAAGTAGCCCAAAAGTTTTGAGAATGCCTGGCATCGGAGACGGAGACATCCAGCATTCCCAACATCGCGCTCTCCAGCATTCCCAACATCACGCTCTCTAGCATCCCAGCAACTCGCCGACCCCTTTGCCGACCAAATGCTGATGCCGAAACACTCAGCTTGTTCAGAAATTGCAGCAAGCCAAAGACATTGCGGAGGTTGATGTTGATGTTGTTGTTGATATCTTGTCGTGGCTGTTGTGATGCTAATTGCAGCATTTCGTGTTTTAGAAGCAAGCAAGTTTGTGAGGATATTGCATGAGTCACGAGAACTGAAGAGATATGAGAAAATAGAGCTTGCGAAGAAATGAGAATGTCCAATGTTGCAGCAAGAAGCAATGGCAATGAACCTGTAAGCCCCTCAATTATGAGGCTTGTTCTATATTTTAGTTACTTTTGTAGATACCTCATCATTGCGACCAGTGGCACCTTTGCGCAAACACACGTTTGAGATGATGAAGATAATCCCGCACATAGCATCAGTTGGATTCCCATAATGTGAGCTGGCTGATTCTAAACAAAAACAACAAGGGCTACGATGATACGTACCCTTTGCAATACTACTGGTATCTTGCAAAGCTGCTGTCATGTCCAAGGTGCAGCGTGTGTTACGTAGGTTGGCCTTCCCAGGTAGTCATTCCATCAGCTGGAACAAACGCCTGCAAAACACGTGCACGGTGCAGGGGTCCAAACTGCCGTTCGGCACCTTGAAGTCAAGCAGTAGCATACCGTGCTAACTTTGGGTTCACAGAAAACTCTCTCTTTTTGCATTTGCCTGCGTCCTTTATTGTGTTTGTGTCACTCTATCTTCTGAGTTATGTTCCTTGCGTCCAGTTGAAAGAACACGAACGCGACAAGACCAGGATCGGATAAAATATAGGTCAAGTTTTTTGAGCAATAGACACTATTCCAGCGGATTTGGGTACGGCCCCACATATCGGTTTTGAAGGTTTATGGATATTGGTTTATGGATATTGGTTGTGGGTTGTCCGCTATCACTTCCTGGTGGTAGCATTCAGTATTCATACGTCATGCCCTGCATTTCCAGGACCCAGTGTGCCAAGGGACAAATTGGGGATATTGCTACTTCCCTGAGCCAACTACTGCTGCAGCAACCGCCACCACCACGACGACGACTACAACTACCACCACGACCACAACGACTACAATTACCACCACGACCACCACGACTACAACTACCACCACGACCACCACGACCACCACGACCACCACGACCACCACGACCACCACCACGACTACCACCACGACCACAACAACGACAACTACCACCACGACCACTACGACCACAACTACCACCACCACGTCCACCACATCAAGCACCAGCACCACTACCACAACCACTACGACAACCACGACCACTACCACCACTACCACCACGACCACCACCACCACGACGACTACCACCACCACCACCACCACCACAGGCACCACAGGCACTACTGCAGCCTTTGCAGGACCACCTTGGGAGCTGACATCCGGGCCGTGCTACTTGGACGAAGCAGGCTGCATGATGAGCCCCAACTACAGTGGACAGCGCTTGACGCACTATGAAAACAACCAGCAATGCACCTTTCAAGTGCTGCGTGAAGCAGTCATGGAGGTTGAAGACTTCCAGGTTGAGGACTACTACGATTCCCTGAAAGTGAACGGGGTGGAGTACAGCGGTCACAACACGCCGCATGGGGTAAAGCCCGAAGGCACTATCTCTTGGTATAGTGACTATAGTGTTGTGCTTCCTGGATGGCGCATTTGCCCAAAGACGCCAGGCCCTTGTGATGTGTGAATTGTTCCGATTGAGTTCGTATGGCCACATCAGCCTGGCTGCCAGAAAAGAGCCATGCCCAGAATTTGTGGCAGCTGCAGCTGACAGACGGGGAGTGTCCAATCCGTGAAGCTCGGAGTCAAACCAAGGTCTGGAGCTGACTGCCAACAGACTTGCTCATCGTTTGGCCTCACCTGCTTGGATGAGGCTAGGGAATGCTCGCCAGAGGTGCGTATTTGCTCGTGACTCGGAGAGTTTGGTTGGCAGGACCTGCTCTTCATCAACCACTGCGCTGCGTTGGGCAGCATCTTCAGCTGCCGGGCGTGCGAGCCAGGTGCCGTTGAGCTTCTTGTCGGCGCTTCGGCGTGTTTCTTGTCGTCTGAGGTACGGGCGCTGTGCTGCCTGCACAGGTGGATGGGGGTGACGATGCCTTTGGGCTCTGCAAGGACACCCAGAAAAAATAGAAAGATACTTGGGCGCCACAACAGGCCTTGTGAGGCTTTGGCAGCTTGAGGCTTCTTCGGCGTTTCAATTTCGCAGACAGCGCCTGTGGCTCAGAGCGCGTCGCGAATGCAGTGTGCGAGCAAGGGTCCCCGTTGGGCCTGCCAGAACCTAATGCCGATTTGGGTATTGGGCACGGAGCCTTTGAGTCTTTGCCCCGGCCGTTGTTGGCTCCGGGAGCCTAGCGCTGCTGCACGGCTGCCCAGGTGCCAGGGAAGCGTTCAAGTCAGTGCGAGGGATCAGGAGACCAACACAAACAAGATAGCCATTGGTTCAGAAAGGTTCTGCTTCCAACAAGCTTTGACAGGAAGGCTGGCCAATTGCGCAGTTGCGTTTCCTTGCACCGTCTGAACCTCTGCCTTGGCCCGAAGCTTTACGCCTTGCCCTGTGCCTCGTGTTCGCCATGCTTTGGTCTTTGGCGCTGCTGGTCGTCAACGTGAACGCGCAAAGGACGGCGCTGGTGGACCCGCAGATTCTGCCGGAGGTGCGGCAGCGCATCCCAGCGGCCTCCTGGAAGCCGCTCGGTCGCTCTGAGCGCGAGAGAGAGCCGCCGGGCCGTGCGCTTCTGCCTCGAGGCTCGTGTCGCTGGAGGCCGCCACCGAGGATGACATCGCCGCTGCAGAAGCGCTTTGCCCGGCCATGAGTCTCATAAGGCCCCAAGCGAAAGCAAGCCAATGCGATACCTGCGAGACATTGCGAGACCTGTGCTCAACGATCGTCCCATCGGCCGCGCTGTGACAAGGAATTGACAGGGTGCAAGCCTTGCAAGCCGCCAGGAACGCTAGCGCCTTCTCGAGCTTGCTCGGCAGGATGAAGTCAGGCGCCTCGACGCCTGCAAAGAATCCTTTGCTGGGTCATTTTCCAGTTGCATGCAAGCATGCAGCTGGCGCATCTTGTACCTTCGAGGAAAGCTGCTGCAATGGATGATAGCAGGAACTGACCTGCTGAACATGCTGCTCGGACTGGACTGCGGGGTGTGACCTGCGGCTCAGTTTGCCGCTCTCTTCCGACCAGGTTGCCTGGAACAGCCTTGTTTGCCAAGGTCCGCGGTGCCCTCACACTTCGCCATTTGTGACGTGCATCAGGGTGTCTCGGCACGAAGCTGAACACTCCCCAAGCAATTCTCCCTTCTTTGCCATGGCTGGGATCCCAAGTCACTTGTCCCAAAGGTGGCGTGGCCATTCCGGAGTATGTGATTTCTGCCATCCTGCAGTGGAACGCGCCTCGCCACAAACTGGACTCCGCCTGTGTGCCGCCGGGCGCCAGGTCGCTCGCTCCGTCGCTCCCTCGAGAGGTGCGGCTCCCGGAGCTGGACGCCGACTTCCGGCACTGCACCTGGCGAGAGGATCTGCGGAACAGCTGCAGCAGGCCGAAGCCTCACAAGGAGGCGTATGGCCAAACAGCCGGGGCCCAAGAATCACACCAAGGACCAAGGGTACAAGGGTACAGTATGACGCGACATATGGAGCATGCATGATATGGCATAGTTGAATGCATATGCCTGGGTTTAGGGTTGAAGTACTTGATGCACGTGCTGGACAGGGACACGACTTGAGATGCAGTTTTGGAGGTGGGGATTCTGGGCTTCGGCACCATCGGCAAGGGCGTGGCCTCCCGAGCTGCGGGCCTGGGCATGCGGGTGGTGGCCGTGGATAGCCACGCGCAGCAGAAGCCGCCATACGTGGCCTGGATAGGCCGGGCACGGCTCTGGAGAACCCGAGCACCTTGCTGACCAGCTGCCTCCATGAGTTTCGTTTTTAAGACCAACGGGAACGGGGGCAACAAATCGCGAGTTGTTAACAGGGGAGCTTAAGGACAAGTTCTCCTTCAAATTTGGAGGTGGCGACGACCAGCTGCCGAAGCTGATGCAGGAGTCTGACTTCCTCGTGGTGGCTGTGCCCCTGGTGCCAGCCACCCGCGGCCTTGTGGGCCCCAAGGCGCCGATCAACGGGGAACGAGAGAAAATCGCTTGCAAGCCACAAGGCTCAGGCAAGGCGTGGCTTGCAAGGTTCGTGCCCAGGAGCTTGCCAGCATGAAGCGTGACGCGGTTCTCATCAATGTGGCCCGCGGGCCGATAGTGGATGAGGGTTCTCTGTGGACTGCTCTGCAGGGACAGAAGATAGGCCGGGCCTGGCACTGGGGTGGGGGGTAGGAGGGGGTTTTGCATGGTGGGTGGACCCAAAGTGAGGTCGCGCATGCTCGTAGAACAAAGCCAGAAGCTCGTGGGCTTAGGTGGTGCCGTGCTGGATGTTTGGTGGCATGGCTTCTCCTGGTACCAGAACGGCAGCTGGCCAGCAAGCTTCAACTTCAGCAGCCTTCCAAATGTGCCTTGGCCCAACCGCAAAGATCGGGTGAGCTCGGGCAATGCAACTTGTGTTTTTTGGGGCAAACAGATGTGTGATCTTGCAATCGTGACGGATTGCGTGCTCTAAGGTGTGGATGTCGCCACACGCGTCTTGGCTTTGGATTTTGCTTTGCGCGACGCAGAAGCGGGATCCCGTGGGTCGAGTTGAGCGCGAGGTCAGTGTGAACACTGCGGAGGCAGAGAATGAGACCCTGAACCAGGCTGACCCTGGAGCTTTCCCCAATCAATGGAACCCGCAATTGCATCTGCCCCTGGAGGCGTCTGGCAACCTCCTGGCACTCAGTGAGGGTAAGCCATTGCAAAACGTGGTTCGCAATGCGAGTGCCACAGTCTTGCTGGCGTAGCTCAAGTGTAGACGCTCGGAGATGAGACATCGGAGAGGGGGTAGTTGCAGCGACTGCTCCCCAAACTCTTTAATGCCCAGCGTTGTCGCTTGGACACTTTCCGCCTGGGAAAATGCACGAACTCTGCGCAACTCTGGGGCCTCCTATTCTGGGACTCTTCACTGAGTTGCATTGCATGAGTGCCTGACAGCAACGTAGCCCGGCAGTGCCAAGCAGACCAGTTTTGTTCCACTTCTTCTTCTTCTTCTTCTGCTTCTTCTTTCCTCTCCTCCGTTCTTCTTCTTCTTTTCTTGGCGTTTCCTTTTTTGTTTGTTTTGCTTTTCCGAATTTCCTTGCTCCTTGGCAGGTTGCGATGTCGGTGCAGCGCGCTGCGGAGCTGGGCCTGGAGCTGAACTCCGAGGCCCTCGGGGCGCTGCCCGGGCCCGAGAGAGCGAGCGCGTCTCTCGGCTGACAGCCCAGCCATGGTTTCGAGCGGCGTAGACCTCGTCTTTCACAGGTTTCAGAATTTCAGTGTTCAGCTGCCAAGTTGAAGTTCCGTGATTCGTTCGCAGTTTCTGACTCGAGGCAAAAACTGCCACAGGACAGGCACACCGCAGAGATGCGAGTCCTCAGCTGGTGCCATTGCCAGGATCATGCGGCAGAGCTGCTAGATGCCGTGGCGCAGAAAGCCAGCCGTGGTGAGGCCGGGCACTTGTTTAGAGTGCCTGCTTGTTTGTGACGGAATGCTGCCAGGTCAAGGATGCGTCCAACTACATCGTCGCTACGATCTCGTCTGCGGCTAAGTCACAACGCAAGTTCTCCGTGTGGCTACGCAAGTTCTGCCTCCTTCGCCGAGTTCGGCCTGAGGCGCGGCTACGTTCCGCGCAGCGGTGGCGGTGGCAAGGGACACGGCGGACACAGCATAGGTGGCGGCGGTGGCCACGGCGGTGGCTATGGCAGTGGCCATGGCGGTGGTTATGGTGGTGGCCATAGCGGTGGCTATGGCGGCCATGGTTACAGGCAGGGGACTTTCGTGCATTGCGCCCTCAAGCCGTGGGCAACATTTGTTCTTTAGCTCCCCGCAGCACCATTGCCATCAACGCGGTGGTTCGCGAAGCCAGGGCTGCGCAGCCGGGCACCAAAGAGTACGAGCAAGCCGCGACGGCTCTCATCAACTCCGTAGGCGCAGAACAGTTGAGCTGAAGCCATTCCCCACAGTCCCGAGTCCCGATTGTTCCAGACAGTTTCCTTTCCAGTGCTTGCCTTTTTGCACGCCTTGTGAACTGCAGTGCCTTTGGTCAGCAATAGCTTTTTGTGTGCTCACGGGTATGCAGCGCAGGCATGGGCAAGGCAGAGGCAGTCGGCCTGCAGCTTACTGACGAGGCAGGATCCGTGATGCATGTCATGGAACGATTGCCAAGAACATTTTCCTGGGACATGTCGCATTGCCTTTCAGACTCTGGGGATTGCAAATGTTGGCTTTCCCGCAGCGCTGTCCAGGCGGTTCAGTCACTGCTGACGGTCCCCACCTCACATGCCTCAGAGATCCTGGAGGCGCGTACCTTGGAGAGCGATTCCAGCTCCAGAAAAGGAGAACGTGTCACACGGGAGCGCTCAGGCGGTGGCAGAGAAGAGCTCGGAGCTGCGCGACCCTTCCAACTACGTGGTGGCGACCATCAGAAGGGGCTACGTGCCTAGGGCCGAGCGAGGTGCGCAAAACGTGACACGGGGGAAAAAGATCGCATGAAAGACGCCCCGAGTCCAGTGGCAGGATCTGAGCCTCACCAACCTCATCAGCCACCACAGACCATGCAGCGCGGCTACGCGGGCGGCTATTCGAGCGGTTTTGCGGGGTGCTGAGCAGGTTGATTGAAGACTGGGGGCCTTTCGGATGCTTGATGTCAGGGCTTTCTAGGATGGTCCGGGCCGCTATGGCATGAGAGATGAGTGCTCGAATCAACACCGTTGTCCTGTTGGCATGCCCCGTCCAAAAAAGATCGTCAAGACTCCGTCCGGAGCGACTCTTCCCGTTTCAGGCCCCAGGTCCTCGAGCCGTGCCTTGACTGGAGATTTGCGCGGGCGGTCCCAGCTTCTGACACAAATCCCTTGGCAGGTCCAGAGCGTCTTCGCACAACCCTATGGTGGCAAAGGCCGGCCAAGAATGGCAAAGGTCCCAGGGATGCGGCGCTCAAAGACAACCCACGAGATGCTCAAAAGACCTATATGTTTTTTGGCAACGCGTATCATTCCCTGTGCACGTGTGCCAGAGTAAGCGCTTGCGAAAGCGCACGTTTTGCCAAAGTTCAAAGCTGATTGATGTCTTGGCAGGGCCTGAGAAAGGCCAACGCAGCACCATGCTGCCCAAGGACATCACAGCAGTGGAGTCTTCACTGCCCAGCCCTTGGTTTAACCAGGCAGGTCCTGCAGGTGCTCCAACCCGTAGTTTGTGTTGCGCTTGGCTGGCGGCGTTGGCATTTATCCCTGGGAACATCCCAAGCGGCGGCAGTTGGGCCTGCAAGAACCTGGAGCGACCGCCGAACGACTGCTTAGGTTGGAGATCAACGATATGGGCCTCTTTCCTGACCAGCCACTGAGCGTAGCAACCATGCTAGCCCTTCGGTGTGTGCCCGAGGCGCGACATGTCTCCATTCCACCTCGGTTTCAACTGTTTCTTCTACATTCGTCGACAAAGTGGCAGGAGAGGGCTTTGGAGATGTTGGAGAACCTGCGGATGAAGGGCACCGGCAAAGGCACTGCACCGGGAAATTTCTAGGCACCAGGCAGCAGGCAATGAGGCGATACAGACCGAAACACGAGAGCATGTTGCACCTGCACAGAAATGCAAAGATGCAGCAGAAGCAGTGACTTTGCAGGAAAACCGGTGTCCAACCCGAACAACTATTTGCAGGCCGTCGAAGTGTTGGACGCTGCGGTAAAAACGCTATGTTACAGACATGTGTTACAAACTTGCACAAGTGTTTCCCGGTATTGGTGACGAGTGGCGTGTGCAGTTGGACTTAGAAGGCGCCTTGGGTCAAGGCGGCGGCCTGCAAGATCTGCCGAGAGGGCGGCGGCTCCGGGACCATGACGAGCCCGTCTCTCATTTTTTGAGCGAGTCGAGTGGATGCTGTGGGGTCTGAGGTGGGAAGGGCGGCGGGCCTGTGAAGAACTACACAGGCCCGGCCATTGTGCGTTTTGCGGATCCTGGATGCGATCTGACAGGAAATCAAAGCCGACAGAAGGCGGCAGAGCTAGGTTTGAATCTGGCCAGGGGCTCATGTCGAGATGACCGGCTCGCACTACGAAGATTAGAACACACGGCTCAAGATGCATTAACCCTTGCGAACTGCCTGATTTTAGCGCAGCAGTCCATGACCTGTCCCAACGCCAACCTCGCAATGCCCAACACACGCGTGTGCAAGATTACCTGTCATGACTGTTTCTCAAATCATACCAATCAGCTTTGGAGGTTGGTTCACACAAATTGCCAAACTTTCAAACTTCCAAAACCCAAATATCCCTCAACCCACTCCTGAGCATTCTCATGTCTCTTTTCCTTGGTTGGCAGACCGGCAACGAACCATGGGAGTGGCCATGTGGGATCCGGCGTCGCACGTCTTTCCGTAACTCGCAGAATCCTAGGATGAGGAGTGCTTCGGCGTTCTTGCACGAATGCCGCTGAGAACCGCGGTGGAACTGCTCGAGGCATGTCCAGTGCTTTGGACGTGCCTTGCTTTTTTGCGCACGTGTGTGTATGTGTGTAGATTAGACATATATATATATATATATGTATGCTGTGTGTTTGCGTGCTGCTAGCTGCCTAGCGGCTTTGGACTCAATTTCAGAGAGTGGACAGAATTGCTTTGGTCTGCGCTGCATGCACAGGGCGCAGCGGAAGCGCAAGCAGAGGGGGAGGACTGCACGTAAGCTTACAAGCGAACGCAGAAGGCACTTGTGTGAAGGAATTGGCACAGACGAAACTGATGTGGTTTGACATATACCATGAATCACCTGTCGTTTCCATGGTTCCTGCGTGTGCCCTTTGAAATACCCGGTGTGCGCATTTTGAGCAAAGCATGCTCAGCAAGCTTCATCCCCAATCCGAAGTTCAGCTCGTTGTCCAGTTGACAGCCAGGATGCCATCAGCTACATCCTAGAGCGAGGGGGACGTGTGGGGGAAGGCTTTGGCCTTGCGCGCAAATGCCAAGCAAGTCTTCAATTTAAGAGAGACGGTTGGCTTCCCATCGCTCAGATGAGCCCCTCGGGAAGCGGCAGCGTTTGGATTAGCAGGCCGGGATGCATTGCAGTCCCTTGCCTGGATCCATTGCAAAGGCTCGCCAAATTTCTTGGAAGTCCATGGCATTTCTGCAAGCCTGACCAAAAGCTGGCTGGCTACCGCAAATCATATGTCGCCGTTTTGTTTCTTTGTAGCTCGGGGTTGGGAGTTGCATTGAGTGAACACTGATAGATGACTGACAGATGTCATGGCCGCGTGCAGGGTTCTCTGAGCACGGCTTGGCTCAGCCAGCTTCCGTTTCACCCTGTGAGCATAAGAGCGGCCGCGAGCGGGTTCAGGCATTGAGAGGTAGAAAAGCAGCTCTCTTGGGCGTCATGAACTCCCACGCCAACATCTCTTCGGAGCCCGAAAAACACTTGAGGCTTTCGACTCCAATGGACCGTTGCGGAAGTTGACATCTTCGTGGCTTGCCGAGCCGAGGCCCCGCTGTGCAGCTCAGCGGCCAGAGACGCGCCGGCTGTGCGCTTGCCGGGGGCCAAGGCCAAAGATATCTGGTGGTTTACCAGTGCCTGAAAGTCGCAGGGGCCAAGATGAAACGATTGGGAGATGTCTGATTTTGACGAAACTCACTTGACTTGCGTGAGGTCGGCCGGTGGTCCAGTGGCAGCTGCCCCTGTGTGCTCTTGCGTGCGCAAAGCGCGTGGCCCGTCGCTCCACAAACACGAGAACGTGCCTTGGTCACCTCCAAGCCAACAAGCCAACAAGCAAGGCACACCGGCAGCACTGAGCCAGACGAAAGCTATGCAGCATGCTGAACAGACTTGCAGAGAGACACCAGCACAAGCAGAAGCCAAGTCCGCAAGGCGCTGTATGGGTATCAATGTATCAGTGATGTGAAGTACACAGCACTGTCTTGGGTGCTTCTCGACCTGTGTTTTCTGCTCCTTGACAATCTTGCGTTGCTGTCGCGATGGAAAGCCTGCGGGTGGTGTCGGCTGTGACGGGGAACTTGGTGCTGGAGCTGCCGCTGGAGGAGTCCGGGCCCCAAGATTTGGCGGGCGCCATCCGGCAGGCGGTGGCGGCGCAGACGGGGACCTCCAAGTTCTGCCAGGTGCTGCTGCTGGGCGAGGTGCGGAGCCCAGACGGGAGGGACAGTGGCCTTGCGGCCTTGCAGGGGGTCACGGACTTTAGGTGCGCAAATGAAAAGCCCGCCACAACCCAGACTAGACTATTTCTATTTCAATGGTAGTTCAGATGGCAAGAGGATGGCTAAGGAGCTTCTCCCAGAGTCCAGGTCCTGGCAGAGTCTTGGGAGGCCCCAGCACGTGGCGGTCGCCCTCCAGCGGCCCATCCCGCACGGCGAGCTGCTCGCCGCCTGCGCCGCCGGGGATGCGGCGACGGCGCTCCGGTGCCTGCGGCAGTTCCACGACCCCAACAGCCAGGAGGAAGGCGAGCGCCTCGAGCCGCAGCGCAAGCGCCACGGGAGTGGGAGAGCGGGGATGGCAAAGCGTGCGAATGCCATGGGTTCCACCTGTCATTAAAAAGCAGGCGACAGTGCCAGTGATGCAGACAATTGGCGAATGCAGGTGATGCAGGTGATGTGGGCAATGCAATTGCTGCTGGCGATGCAGGTGATGCAGGTGATGCAGGGGATGCAGTTGCTGCTGGTGATGCTGGTGATGCTGGTAATGCCGGCCATGTCAGTTTGGATATCCTCTGGCGTGCTAATGTGGTTGAGCCCTGGCAACAGTGCAATGGATTGCTATCCGAGTTAGCTGGTGTAGTCATAAGCTTCACAGTTGATTCATTCAGCAAAGATCTGAGGGGCCATGCGCAGATTCGCAGAGACATTGTTTGCTTCTGCTTAGCTACCCTCCTCCGGGAGCTATGTAGTCGTTTTGTTGCTGATATGCGTGGCATGGTCAAAATGCGGCTGTTGATGCACCAGCAGATATGAAGCCTGCAACACATTGCCAACTGTGCTCACATCGCATGCATGTGCAAGTTGGCATTAAATGTGCACATGTTTCTTGGGCATTCGAATCCAAGATATGGTCCGGCAGAGATGTGTTGCCAGCACTGAACTGGTCAAAATCCGGGTATGCTACTCATTATTCGTTTTCTGTGAAATTGGAATGACGCCTTGTTGATATGATGCTCCTGTGTAACGTTGCCCAATCTCCTTGGGTCATGGCTCGCTAAAATAGGAATCCTCATCAAGCTCGGGTTGTGAGTAAGTTGCCCAGCCTGTGTTGTTTGGGTCGCAAAATGCATTCCGAGTTGTTGAGGTGTGCATTGCTTTAGGCACTACACCCTTGAGCAGGCAGCACTCGCACAGAAATTTGCCCAGTTTGTCTGTGTGATCACCAGGGACAACGGAACATGAAACCTGCAGCAACTTGGGCAACAATTAGCAAGAAAACAGTGGCAACTTGCGATGGAGCTGTGAATTTGCTCTGACCAAGGCAGATCATATTTGCTGACTGTTGCACGTGGAGCTGTCATCTTGTTTTCTTCGGCGCGTCCGCAGCACGCATGATTTTGTCATTGCAAGCAATGCTGGCTTCGCTGCCATCGTCAGCATCGCAGGAGCAGCAGCACCAGCAGCAGAGTCTGAGCTTGCTTCCATTCGGCCGAACGCCGGACTTGCTGTTGCATGCCTTCCATGTTTCTGTCTTGATCAACTTGTGTTGCCAGCAATGTTTGCAATGCCAAAATTGCTAGCGATGCGTCATCGAAAGCACATCGCTTGTGCAGCCCAAGCAGGGCGGCATGTCGCTTGTGACCTGCTTTTTAATCGCTTGTGACCTGCTTTGTTCGTCGCTTGTGACCTGCTTTTGTCTCATGCCACTCACGCACGCAACCACGCACCTTTGCACCCACGCGCACACGTGCTCACAGACGCACCCATGCGCCCATACACCCAGGCACCCACGTACCCACGCACCCATGCAGCTACCGACGCACCCACGCATCCACCGCTCGCGGACCCAACCACCCACGCACCCACGCACTTCCCGATGCACCTACGCATGCACGGCTTCCACGAACCCACGCGTGCCCGCACCGCCGCCCGTGGAACAAAGTCTGACGCAGAAACCAATATTCGGAGACGCAGAAGCGAAAATTCGGCGATTCATAAACCAAACAAATGGAGCGATTCAGAAGTTAAGGACGGCGATTCAGAAACCATCGAAGCAGCAGCCAACACACTCGGGGTGGCATGGGTTTCCTTGGTTGTGTTCTGCGGAGACATTCGTTTGCAGCTGTGGGCTCAATGCTCATGGCTGTCGAAGGCCAGTTTGCTGTGGGTCTTATGCTTCTTTTTCTTGTCGCTGGCTTTTCTGCGTGTTTTAGATCTCTCACTCTACTCTTGCTCCGTTTTGTGCAGGTCTGCGTGCTGTACTTGGACTGGACTCTTTGTTTGATTGTGTGACTCAGCCTGCTGACCCGATTGTTTCGTTTGTTGAGACTGTGTTGATTCCTGCCCGCTTTCCACCTGTTTTTTCTGCTTTGGAATCTTACGTTGGCTTCCTGTGGTGTTGGGTTTTTGTCATGCAGAGAAGGTTTCTTCCTGGGGCGCTTTACTTGTCTGCGTCTTGCGTGGTCGCACGACGTCTGTCGGGCCGTCGTTTGCTCCCCCCCCCCCCCTATTTGTTTTTCAGACTGCTTGGCCTTCAACCAAACAAAGGCGCCTCACTTTGACATTTAATCTCAAGCCCTTGTTTGCAGAGTTGCAGTAGCTCCATAGCTTACAGCGTATCAGCAGAGAAAGCAAGGCAACTTGCTGCGTATGGCCCCGCGTATACATACGGGACAATCACGACCCGTGACAGCCCCCCCCCACCCCCTGTTTTTCTTTTGTTCTGTGATTGATTCACAGTATGCTCAAGGCCTGTGCATTACTTGTAGCTATCTCAGATAGGATTGCGCTTTGCTGATTGGGGTACATTGTAAATTTGTTTCCATCAGGAAACTAAATACAGCTTACACACTTGGTCTTCGACCTCTTCCATTCACATCTGTATTCTGCTGAGGAGTAGATCCACCAGACAACCTACAAAACGTATACTAACAGCGCCTCATCCCCCCCCAGCCCCCGATGTTTCATTGCGTGTTGGCTCAAAGGCCTTCTCACTTACAGTTGACAGCCACGTCACAGTAGATGAACCCTTGCTGCGTGCTCTACGAGACTATCATTGCCAGGACACCCATCTCCATTTTGAAAGAGCGCCGTCACCACACCCCTCCACCCTTCCCATGGATGTCAGTGCTGGAGCATGCAAAAAGGGACACCTCACCCCAGTGCATGCCCCCCACCGTTGCTGGAGTGTGACAGCACACCCCACTCCCTCCCCCACCATTGCTGGAGCGTGGCTGTGACAGCGAACGTCATCTTCCCCCCCCCCACCCCACCCCCTCCCCCTCATCACCCCACCCCCACCGTTGCTGGAGCGTGGCTGTGACAGCGAACGTCATCTTCCCCCCCCCCCACCCCCTCCCCCTCATCACCCCACCCCCACCGTTGCTGGAGCGTGGCTGTGACAGCGAACGTCATCTTCCCCCCCCCCCTGTAAGAGGGAAGAGTATGTATAATGTGCCGGGGAGAGGTCTGGGCATCAACATCACACTGAGGGCTGGCTTTCAGGCAGATCTTGTATAGGAATTGATTTCATAAAATTTCAAATCTTAGTCTGAGAAATTGGCTTCCAGGGGAATTTGGTAGGAATGAAATTGCAGATATTACAAATTAATTTGTAAGGTAAAGAAAATATTCTCCATTTTTTTTTTAAATACAAATTAATTTGCAAAATTGAAAAATATCAAAAAAATCTGGCCCAAAATTACAAACTTTACAAATTTTACAAATTAATTTGTAAAATTTGTAAAATATCCAAACAATCTGGCCCAAAATTACACATTTTACAAATTTTACAAATTCTAGTCTGAGAAATTAGCTTCTAGGGGAATTTGGTAGGAATTAAATTACAATTTTACATATTTTACAAATTTTACAAATTAATTTGTAAAATTTGTAAAATATGAAAAAACATCCGGCCAAAAATTACAAATTTTACAAATTTTACAAATTACTTTGTAAAATTTGTAAAATATCAACAAAATCCGGCCCAAAATTACAAATGCGAGTCTGAGAAAGTAGCTTCCAGAGGAATTTGGTAGGAATTAAATTACAAATTTTACAAATTTTACAAATTAATTTGTAAAATTTGTAAAATATCAAAAAAACAATCCGGCCCAAAATTATAAAATATCAAAAAACCCGGCCCAAAATTACAAATTTTACAAATTTTACAAATTCTAGTCTGAGAAATCAGCTTGCAGGGGAATTTGGTAGGAATTAACTTACAAATTTTACAATTTTTACAAATTAATTTGTAACATTTGTAAAATATCAAAAAAATCCGGCCCAAAATTACAAATTTTAAAAATTAGTTTGTAAAATTTGTAAAATATCAAAAACATCTGGCCCAACATTACAAATTTTACAAATTTTACAAATTCGAGTCTGAGAAATTAGCTTCCAGGGGAATTTGGTAGGAATTAAATTACAAATTTTACAAATTTTACAAATTTTACAAACTTTACAAATTAATTTGTATAATTTGTCAAATATCAAAAAATGTGGCCCACAATTTCAATTT